CCTATCAGACCAAATGTAAAGGAATAATTGACAATTATTATATTGGAAATACGACTTTGTCCTACTTAAGGAATATTTTTTAAAGAATCTAAGTAAAAAGAAAAACCAAAAATACCCATCAGACCTAAAAGTATGAATGGATTCATCGATAATCTTATAAAACACACCAGCAGCTTCTAAAGGATGAATGAGAAATGATTTAAAAACTGTAGCACTGCCCGGCCATGTGGCTCAGTGGTTGAGTATCAACCTATGGAACCAGGAGGTCGCGGTTCGATTCCCCATCAGGGCACATGCCGGGGTTGCAGGTTCAGTCCCCAGTGGGGGGCGTGCAGGAGGCGGCCGATCAGTGATTCTCTCTCATCACTGATGTTTCTATGTCTCCCTCGCTTCCTCTCTAAAATCAATAAAATCTATATTTGGTAATTGTAGCACTACTGTGATGTAGCTGGAAAAGTTAATACCTAGCTGTGGGGTATCAGGTGACCACTGTTAACTGCAAGACCACCTCGCCCTCCGCCCGGTGGGAACGCTATAACCCACCCTCCGGCTTGCTGGGAGCCTCCCACCGAGACCGGGGACGGAGAGCTCGGTCTGTGTGATGAATTTGGGCCGGCACAGAACTGGTTCTCCCAGTCTCTCCTTCCAGCAACAGCCGTGCCCTCGTGGCGCCTCACCTGGCTGAGCTTGATGTACTCCTGCTCGTATATTTCCGCGAGGCTCAGCTTGCTCTTCTCGTGGTCCAGCGTGAGCCGCTTCTTATACTCGAACGCGTCCTCCTTGGGCTTCTCCTTCCGGACGACGTCATCCCACGCCTGGGATGGGAGGGGGAGGGCACACACTCACAACGTCTCCTCTCCTCCCAGGCTGGCTCGTGGACCTGCCCCGTCCCGCCTCCTACCACCCCAGAGGAAGCAGCTCCCACCCCGGAAACGACTGCTCACCCCGCAGAGAGTAAGTCTACGGAAGCAGAGTGGCCCCTGCGGGAGCCCTTTTCGCTTGTTCTAAACGCGCCTTCTCCTGGTTCCCCACGGGAAGTCCCTGTTTCCCCATCACGGTGTGTTCACAGCCCAGGTTCAGGTTTGTCTTGTGCCACTCAAACGTAAAGACCCTCCACAGGCAGCGCCCACTCTGCAGCCCCCCCTGCTTTCAGCCACTTCACACACACACACACACACACACACACGCACGTCTAAAGCCCTCTCGTAACACACGCAGACACTCCCGCTGTATTCTGAGCGGACAAAAGACCAATTCTGCAGCAAAAGCCCTTCGCTAGGTTTGTAACGTTTGAATAAAAACAGACCCTGGTCTGTCACATCAGATACTGTGCCAGACCCCGGGTCCCGGGTGTGACCACATCGAGTCAGAGGTCAGTCACCACAGCCACCACCCAGCGGTCAGCACGGCGAGGGGGCCCTGCCCATGGCCCTGGTCCCCTTTCTCCTCCGGCACCTCACCCGTACCCGCACCAGTGAGGACCGCGCCTCACACCACAGACGCTGAGGACGCCTTCAGCGCAGACTTAGGGCCTTTACACGAGCTGCCGACATTAAACTTCTATAAAAACAGAGCATCAGTCATTCCTACTCCCCAAATACGCGCGTTATTTCTAAAAACGCCCGTCACCGTTCACTGAGGTGCTTGTCATCGTACGGACCTGGTCTCTGATCCGCTGCTTGATGATGTCTTCCAGCTGCAGCGTGGTCTCCTCAGTGATCACCGGCGCTGGAGGCGACAGGACACGTGCGATGAGGCAGCGATAAACCAGGCCAGGGGGTCTCACAGGCTGGGCCTCGGCCGCAGCGTTCACACCCGGGAACCGGATGGACGGGCATTCCCGGGCCCCACCCCCAGCTCCGGGTCAGGCGGGCCGTACCCATGCGGACGGCGTGGTCGAAGTGCAGGGTCTCCTCCAGCAGGCTGTTCTCCGGGCGCTTCTGTGCCGTCACCTCCCCCTGAAGCTGCCATGGCTTCTTTTCCAGCAGCTCTTTTTCTAAAGATGCGATTTTTTCATTCATCTGAGAGGGAGAGGCGAAGCGTTATTACGCACTTAGGAAACACAACTGGTCGTATAATTGAGTAAAAGCAACTGATATTTTTAAAAGTGGGAAAGAAATGCATTGCTCCGGACAGTAGTGACGGCCTATTCCTGTCGCCTGTGGTGGGGTGGGGAGCTGCAATATACTAAACGCTCCCGATTTTCCTCGCTGAACTGAAACGCCAAGTCTGTGGGACACTAAATGCCCCCAGAAGCAGCTGGGTGAATTTCTGGGCTCTAGTATTCACATCCTCTATCTCATTCACAAGCCACCGACAACGTTCGTTATTGGAGCATTCCAACATGAAGTCATGTTCCCATGGCAACATCAGTGTCTGCTGGAGCCTGACCCTGGGGCTACACCCCAATCCAAGTTATCGCCGACTTCTAAAAGACAACAAAGTGACAGGGCCAAACAGCTGGAGCCTGACTATGTTCCTCTCCAATGGCATTTCATCTTCTGAAGTCAGGTGACCTGGGCATCAATTTTATCAACTTCTGGAAGATGTGCTGGAGATGGTGCCAACTACAGCTGTCTCCGTGGTACTCACAGAGCCGCCTGCTCAGCACCTCAGAGCAGGAGGCCGTGTGCGTAAGAGCAGCTACAGTTAGCAGGAGAGGTTCCCAGGCCAGCTAATTAGGAAAGAGATGCCACGGGTACAAACACAGCAGGGAGAGGAAAGCAGCAGGTTTGACAGCGGCGCCACAAGCTGGGAGCCGCGGCCCCCTTTTTACAAGTTAGCCGCTTCCCGCTGGGCGTCTCCCTATAGTGTGAGCTGTACAGAGGAGCCAGATGTGTTTTTTAAAGGACAAGTCAGCATTCTACCAAGAAACACAGTAGATTAGTTAGCAGTCTGCAAGTTCCAGTCATGAAAGCATACGGCAATCCCTTCAGTTCCTATTTGTTACCTTTTCCTGTCTCTTTTCAAAGGAGGACTTGACTTCAGCAGGCTCTTTCTGTGCGTCTAAGACGCTTGTCTCTTCAGGTTCCTCATCATCTCCAGATTCCTCGTCGTCTGGCAGGGCGAAGGTCACCCTCTTCGTTTCTTTACGTTGTTTATTGTCTTCGGTTTCTTCAAGGTCATTCTCTTCATCCCTATGATACCAAAACACGTGTCAAAGGAAGAACACCCCATTTCATTGGGGAAACAAAAAGAAACACGTTTTCTCATAATGCAAGTTTCCTTCTGTATTATGCCTAATGCAACTACATCTCCAGAACTTCGAAAGGCATTCAGTGACTAAGGAATGACAGAAGGAATTATTTAGGTGAAATAGAACGAAGAGTGTCCAACGTAAAGAAAATAAATTACTGCCCTAGCTAGCGGTTAGCACGTCGGCTCCTGCACCCAAGGGTTCCAGGTTCCATCACTGGTCCGGATCGGGGTGCATGTGGGAGGCAACCCATCGACGGTTCTCTCTCCCCCCATCCTTCCCTCCCTCCCTGACATTCGCTCTGAAAAACTCCATGGAAAAAACAACCTCAGGTGAGGATTAACCAAAAAAAGGGGAAAATTTACTCATCGATCTATAACACAAAGTCATCTCACACAAATAACAACAGTTTATCTTTCTTGGCACAAAACCAAATCAAAGCTGCTTGCACTGAAGGTCTGACGGACCCTTACTGGGTGAACTCTAACGCCCTTCCACGTGGACTCTCTGGCTCCCTGGAGACGACGTGACCTCCGAGAACCCAACTCCTCAGGCCCATGACACTGCGGGCACACGCACGACTGGCCACGCCCGCCACGCCTGCACGGAAAGGGCACGGAACACACTCACGTGTCCGAGAGGCTCTCCTCTCCTCCCCGCTCAGCAGTCTCTCCCTCTTCTTCCCCGGAGCCCAGCTCCTCATCGGGCGCACCCGCCGTGTCTTCATCACTTTCAACCGGATCGAAGAAATCCTTGTACTTCAGGTTTCTGGAACTTTTACCCGACTGAAACAAAGACACTCTGCATCAAGGGCAGGAACGTGCACTGAGCCGTGCGTATGTGTGTATGTTAACACTGCACAGGGAAAACTGGCCTAGGAACTACTAGACCACAGCCAACTGAAAGTAGGAATCCTTTACACAATATTCCCGTCTCTACATCTTCTAGCTACAATCATTTCCAAAAGATCCCTGCCTGATCAAGTACACAGGTGCCTCCCTGTCACTAGTATTTGCAGTGCCTGGTGAAAACACATGTTTGAGGGACAGTGCTGAAGGTCTGACAGGTGTGATTACGGCTATTAAGCTACAGTGGCCTCTGAGAAGGCAATGGTGGGTCCTGTTTAATTTTTCCCGTCAATTTCTCTGAGCCGATCTAAGTATTTCACTTAGGCCCTGGGGATGAGGTATTTCCACCTCTTCCCGAAGTAACAGAACAGAATGCAATTTGAGGAGATAGAAGGTCCTCTTTCTCTCCTCTCCCAACACGTCACCTTGGGTTTCTGACGTCCAAACAGTCCTCCCTCATCTCCGTCGGAATCAAGATCTTCAAATAAATCAATCTCCTCGTCGTCGTCCTCGTCGTCGTCCCCTTTTCGTTCCTCTTCTTTTTCCACGGTTTCTAAAAAGCTCTCCATCTCAGAGAGCTTGAAGAATTTGTCGTCCACCACGGACTTCTCCCTGGGCTTCTTGGGCATGTGGCTTTGCGCCCTGCTCTGCCGTTCCAGCTTGTCGATATCAAAGTCAAGGTCAGAATCCTCATCGCTGAAGACGGGGCTTCTCCTCAGATCACACTGGCCGGGATGTCTGGTTGTCTCCTCCCCTTTGGGATCATCACCGCTTAGGTCTGACCCTTCCTCCTCCTCCTCCTCCCCCTCCTCCTGTCCTAGGCCCTCCTGCTTTATTGCCTCCATCTCCGAGCCATCCTCCCCACCCTCCTGCTCCTCCTCCTCCGGGAGAAGGCTGAGGTCCCCGTCCTCGATGGTGTCACGGACGGCGCTCTCAAAGTACCGCAGCACCGGCTCATTCTGAAGCTCCAGCTGCTGCCAAATCTGCTCGTCGTCAAAACGGTCGACCACCAGTTTCTGCAAAGGGCTCCCGGGGATCCTGCCGCGCTCCAGCACTTTATTAAAGTCATACAGCACTTTTGTCAAGGAAGTGAAGCTTGATGCCAATTCATCTTGAACCCTAGCAAGGGAGCAGGGGAGGAAGTTAAAGGAGACATTTTTAAAAATTTATCTTTATTGTTTAAAGTATTACAGATGTCACCTTCCCCCCCACCCCCACCCCGCAGTGACCCGCTCCACCTCGCATGCGCTCCCCACCTTCCCTGTACTATTGTCTGTGTCCATGGGATACGTATGTATGTGAATGTATATATATAAGGTCTTTGGTCAATCCCTTTCCACCCCCCACAGCCCCTGCCTTCGCTCTGAGATTCGTCAGTCCGGTAGTAACCTCGCGGTACTCTTAAATTACGGGGGGAAATAAGGCCCCAGTCTCGTGCAAAATCAAATGTGCAGGAAACGTCAATTTTTAGTATAGATTCTGGTCCGCAAGAATCTGGACCATCTTGCTGATAAGCCACCTTAATACACAAAAGTGTGAACTTAGTATCTGTGAATCTGCACACGACTGAAATTCTGACAGGCTAAGGGGGCGGAAACGATCTGAAATTTGGGGAAAAGCGATCTACCAGTACGCCTCCCGTTAGCTTCCCTCTATCCCCAGACACTGACAGGGGCCTGCAGCCCGCGCCCGCCGGAGGCCGGGGCCCGATCCCGAGCTCGGGCTCCGGGCACTTACGTGAGGAAGCCCTCCGGCCGGCCTGTGTTCTCACCAACCTCGTCCAGACACCGCTTCAGAGTCCGCTGACGCCAGACCCGCAGGGCCATGGCTGTTTAAAACTCAGCTCGCCGCGCCGCATGCCCCGGAAGTATGGCGCCCGGAAACGCGTCACGGAGATGCGCCCCACGCAACCTGGAGCGCAGAGGAAAAGGTTCCGCCGCACGCAGGTTCCGGACCCACCCCTAGCCCGAGTCAATGGCCGCGCGAGAACCGTCGCTGCGCTTGCGCAGCGGACGGCGCAGGGGATGGAAACGAGCCATTGGTCGGCTCCAGCGCCTTTG